ACAGAAAAGGTGTGAGAGAAAAAGAGAAAACACGGATACTATGACCACGAGAAAAGGAGGGATGACAGTTTGGCTCAGATAAGCTACATTCAACCTAAACTTGTACCACAAGAGAGAGAAAACAAACCGAATTTCACATGTTTTCTCTAAAATCAACCCGGTTGATCTGAACAATGGACACTTTTTTGTGTCCCGAGTGACAAAACTCTCATTTTTCGTCAACGCAGCTTTACGGACAGTAGTTATCTGTGCAATTTCTATGACTGAATATGTTTACCAGCGAAAACCTAACCCTGAGAAACGAAGAATCATTTGGCCGCAATAAAGTCACGGATGCCATTATAATGTTTGAGCCAAGAAGAAAAGAAAAGAAAAAATCCGCCAGGCACACAGTGAAAGTACGTGGAAAAGATCGAGACCAAAGATGATGTAATTAAACTTCAGCTAGAGTCAAGTGAAGAAGCTCCATGCTTACTTTGTATATGATGAGGCATCTAAGATCCTCTAAGGCGCGTTTCAAAAGTCGTGCTTCTGCTGTGCCGAACTAAACTGATCGAGTTAAATTCGACTTAGCAAGGCAGTAGCCCGACGTTTGAAACCAAGTCGTGCTACTGACGTGTCGAACTTGTCGTTTTTCGGTTTGTCAGTTCCTGTCTGTCGAATGGGCGTCGATGAAACATTCCAGATCATCCTGAAACATACCAGAACATGCAAAACTTAAATTATTTCTTTTGGAAAAAAATTCTTCAATATAACAATAATAATAATAAAATAATTTTTGCAACAATTTATAATAACAAAATAAGAAATAACATAACATAAAAAGCGAAAAATAACTAAACAAAGAAAAAGAAACTACAATCGACGACACTCAACTTGGGTCACACTGCTGTGATACTTGTCTTTGTCTCTTCCAATATTGTTTTGAAACGCCGTTGTTGGTTGGACTTGTCCAATTTCGAGGTTAAAGGAAAAGAAGGTCGAGCACAACATGTCAACGTTATTTCTTCAGTGACTTCAAATGATCCAAGTTCTAATGTCACAGATTGTGGTATCATCTCAGAGTATAAGAAAACAATATTTTGTAGCAAATAATTTTTTGGGCGGGTGAGGGTCCATGCAAATGACAGAATGAGTGAGGCCTTGCCTCTAAAGTCAAAATATATTAAAATTGGACTTGGGAGGGGGTTTCAAGATTTTCTCACACAGCCACCTGTTGTAATTGTTTGCCATGTGATTGAATCATTTGACGGTTATCAATTTACGGCTTTGCGACTTTAATAAGAGCTTAGCGGCCGGTGGCTTTGGATTTGGACAAGATTTACATTCGTGGTGAATAGTTTCAGCGGTAGTGGTTCCGCACTGTTAGTTTCTAACTGTTACCAGTTAGCCTGAATTTCAGCTATCTCCCGGAATCGCAAGTGAAGTTTGCAATCCATTTATCTGCTGCAATGCTTGTTGTTTTGGATTTTGTGACGTTACTGGATTTTAGCGGACAAGATTTCATTTTGGAAACATTAATGCCTACTTTCTTGAACTAAATCCTTATGTTGATTTGCGTCGGGTACCAAAGTTGACTATTCGTCCCACATAGCTGCAAAAAAACACAAATACAATAATGACCCAATAATGAATGGAACTAGAACTTTTATGGGAGGGGCCGTTGTGATTCCCGTGATCCTGGAGATCTGTACAGCCCCCGAAATGATCCCCACCCTAAAATGATCCTCAAATCGACTCCGAAATGATTCCAATTTCTATTCACGTCGACCTCGAAATCATCCCCAGTTAATTTTAGGAATGGAAGAACTGCTGGCCCAGAACAGATAAGATTGAAGGACCTTCGTTGCTGCCCTTCATGCCGCGGGCCGTTAGTAAGTATAACTGAACATGGGAAAAAAACCCAATTCGAAAGGAGTTGAATCCATTTCCACAAGAACTGATTGCTGTTCAGGGGAATCAAGAAAAATTCCGTCCTTGCATTCACAGCTGACTTGTAAAAGTCATTACAGAGGATGCAAATTTGAAAATGGCTTACCTTTTTTGGCCCCACAGAAAACTAAACTGCTACGGTGGCTTATATCAATGGTAGAAATTTATTTTTAAATTAAACATCTTCCCGGGATTCACCAACACTGTAACGGGTCTCTTTTGCCGGTAGCCCATCTGAGACTTACCTTCATTTGGTGAGCCTTATGCGTCAGAGGAAACCGGTCGTTTCGCAAACGTCTCTGGTCAGTTCGCAAACGTGTAGAAGTCAGTTCGCAAACGTTTAGAAGTCAAGGTTCTGTTTGGTGCCAACCACGCCGAAGTGGCCTTCATTAGCAAGTGCTAAGGTCCTTGGCTGCAGTTTACTAGGAATAATCATGCGTGTACTTCTAAGCAAGAACTGACCAATGACACACAACTCCCCCGCCACTGTCATAAACTAACTACACTTTTCAAACCACCCCGTTGCAATAGCCTTCCTCACTTTTCTCAGCTCTTCATCATCAGCACAGGCCTTTTCTATCTCACGGGTCGTGAGTGCCGTTGGTGTTGCACTTACACCAACAAATCTAACATGCTCTTCAGTACACCGCTAGTGGTTGTCAGGTTCAACCTTCCTATAAAGTAGTCACGACAATGGATCAGCAATGTTCTCGCGTCCAGGCCTGTGTACCACACTGAAATCATATGACTGTAATCTGAGAACCCATCGCTCTATCCGTGAACATGGTCTTGACCGTGGACCATATCTGACCTCTTAAGGCTTGTGGTCGGTCTCTACAACAAACTTCATCCCATACACATAGACATGGAATCTCTCACACGCCCACACCATACCCAGTGCCTTCTACTCTGTCTGGCAATATCTCTGCTCGCATCCGATCAAACTACGACTTGCATAACATACCGCTGTCCATGCACCGTCCTTCTCCTGTACGAGAACAGCGCCCAGCCCAATTGGACTGGCATCCGTGATTATCTTATCTTGGTGGGTGCCAAAGTGTAAGCTTCTGCCATCTTCTGTTTGAGACATTCAAAGGACTTCTTCTGCTCCGATCCAAATTCAAAGGGTGTCTCTTTCCTTGTTTGTCAGCTTTCGCAGTGGTTCGGATAAAGTGGCAAATTGAGGTATGAATCGGCTACTGTAGTTGACTAAACCCAGAAAGCTACGTACATGCAAGGCATTCTTTGGTTCTTCCACCTCTAATACTTCTTTAACACGATCTGCTGTAGGACCGATTCCTTTGTTTGAAAGCAGCATACTCATAAACACCAGCCTGTCCGTGTTGAACAAACATTTCTCAGCATTTAAAGTGATACCGCACTCTTTCAGACGCTCTATAGTTTGGTGGAGTCGCCTGTTGTGTGTTTCTGTGTCGGGACCATGCACTGCAATGTCATCCGAAATGTTTTCGACACAGTCAACACCTGCCAGGGCTGGGGCAATTTTTTTCACCGAAGAGCAAGCCCTTGTATCGAAACAAACCATCGGGTGTAGCAAAGGTTGTGATTTCCCTGGATTCTGGGCTCAATCCAACTGGTGGTATCCCCATTTAAGGTCTAATTTACTGAAGACCTTAGAACCATTCATAGTATGTAACACCTAGTCAACTGTGGGAATTGGATATCGTCTTCACATGATTGCTTGGTTTGCCTGTCCCATGTCCACACATGGGCGGATTTCCCTGCTGTTCTTTGGGACGGCTGTGCAATAGGTTTAACAGCAGGGTCTATATTCAAGGATATCTGTTCGTTTTTCGTTTTTCCGACACCTTCAAATATCTCTGGGTACTGCTGTTTTAAACTGTCAGCTTTAGTTTTTACCATAGCAATGTTAATTCAAACTTTTAACACTCCCAGTTCTGTGGCTGTTATCTTTCCAAGCAGTGACATCCCTCTACCTTTAATTACCAAGACCTCAGCTTTCGTGGATCTATCACAAACACTCACTGTACACTTAAAACTACCCTTAACTGGCAGTGGCTGACTAGACGCATATGGGTACAGCTTCTTGTCTGAGGTGGCAGCTTGTGATTCACATTTCACTCCCTTCACCTTCAGCTGTTTCCATATCCCCTCGTCAATAATGTTGCTGTTTGCCCCAGAATCTATTAACATCTTAAGGTCTACTCCTCCTACTTGTGCGGTGACCATTTCTGAGTGTTCTGCTTCTGTTATACTGAATGCATAGTCATGCTGGGGTCCAGGGTCATTATCATCGGGTACCCTCCCAACCTGACAGCATATGACTTTGTCTTACAGACTTTTTCAAAATGATCTTTCCCGCGACACTTTCTACATGTCTTGCCTCTTGCTGGCCACTGACCAAAATGTCCCATATATTTAACAAAATTTATAACATATTTATCTCTCCCTTGGAATCGCCCTTGTGTGCTAGTGCTCGGATTGTTACTTCTTTCATTGATTTTATTGATACTTTCTGATTCTTCCCCCTTTACTGAAAGTGCAGCCAGATGGGTTTCTATCTTCTTGCATTTTGCGGCAACCTCTATGGTGCGTGTTAAGTTCAGTCAGGGGCATCCAACGAGAATATAGTTCAAAACCACTTAAACATAGCATGGTTGAACGTATTGTAGTATTTAAACGGTAAATATAGGCATATTTTTATTCCCTAAAAATTTTTCACCTGTTCCGATTTCCTAGCTGAAAGTCTAGTGATCCGAAAATTATAGGGTTTTATGAGGCAAGAGTGTAGCGTGATTGTGAGATAGCGTGATTTTATTCCTTTTAGATTTTGTTATTAATAGTTTCACTCGTCTGTCAGAGCGACAGAGAACTTGATGACAGATCGGATTAAAAACTAAAGCTTATAGATTCAAGAAAGTCACGATTTTGTGTAGTGTGTGAGCGAGCCATTGTACTGTGAGGGTCGAAGCTGTGAAATAAACCCTGTTTTGCTTTAAAAGTGTGATATCTTGAAGAACGACCCTTCGGCATTCACGACAAAGTGGCACCTCCGACGGGAGGCTGGGAAAAATAGAATACAGACGATGGAGGCTAAGCTTAGCGCAAAGCTACAGTTGCTTGAACTAACCAGAGGAAAAACTAAGGATGTTGCTGTTGGCGATAACTTGGAAAAGATTCGTCGACACAAAGAAGCCTTGCAGACTATAGTAGCTGGTGTTGAGGAGTTAAAGAGGGATATAGAGCAAGAAAAACTGGAAAAGGGAGAAACTGTGGACGAAGTAAAAGAGTGGGGAGAGGAAACCGAAGGTAAGATTGACATTGTGGACAATGACATCAAATTCCTAGAGGCTCGTCTCAAAGAAATAGTCACTCGTTCTGACAACGAAGAACGGGAAACCAAGGAATACCATAAAGCTCGAGAACGTGAGGAGCAGCTAAATTTTGAGCGGCATCAGCTAGAACAAAAGGCAGAGTTCTCTAAGGCCCAAACTCAACGACAGATTTGCCTCATAAACATAGCGTGAAACTACCAAGGCTCGTGATAACCAAATACAATGGGGCTCTTGAAAATTGGTTGTCGTTTTGGAACAAATCTGAAGCAGAAATTGATAGCACCGATTTACCAGCAGTCACGAGATTTGCCTATCTCAAGGAGCTAGTAGAGCCACGCGTTCGTAAAGGAATAGATGGCCTTCCCTTCACTACAGAAGGATATGAGCGCGCAAAATGTATTTTGAAGAGTAATTATAGGAAGATGAGCGAGATTGTGAACGCATATATTGAAAACACTCTTGCGCTTCCATTCATTTCCGGAACACAACCAGCCAAAGTACACGACTTCTATGAAGCTTTACTCTACAATGTTCAGTCGCTCGAAACATTAGGAAAAACCTCCGAATGCGTGGCGTTGGTGCGTGGTATTTTGAATAAATTGCCTGGAATTAAAGCTGAATTAGTACAGGGTCACCCAGAATGGCGGTAGTGGAATTTCACGCAAATGCTTAACACGCTTCGCGAATGGAAGGAAATCCATCCCCGAGAAAATGTGAAGTCACGCGATACCATAAGAGGTTTTTATGTGGAGGAACGCAACGGAAATGCGACACGTGGTTGTGTTTACTGCCGTGAAGTATCGCACAAAGCTATAGATTGTACCGCCATTACTAGCGTTGAAGATCGTGGGAAATATCTGCAGGAGAAAAGGCTGTGCTTCAATTGTACTGGGCCGCATAGAGCAACCAATTGTCGGAGCAGAGGAAACTGCGCGAATTGCAAGCAGAGGCACCACACCTCAATCTGCGGCCGAAATAGTCAACTATCAAGTGAGGGGACAGCAATGACAGCCGCACACGTGGGGGAGAAAGTTTGCCATCCAGTCGTCGTTGTTAAAGTCAACGGAGTCAAATGCCGCGCATTGCTCGATACTGGCGCTACTGGAACCTAGATTTCAGCTTTGTTGGTGGATCTTTTAAAGGTTAAACCAACTCGGACCCTTACGAGCGGTATCAAGACGATCATGGGCCTGGTTACCAAGCGCATTGAGACCTACGATGTTAAGATCAGTGACACTCAGGGAAGGTTTACGCTACCAGTCTGCGCTACGAAGATTGAACAACGAGAACTTTTATCGCTAGAGAACCCTAACTATCCAGAAATGCTGAAACGTTATTCACATCTTAAGGGAGTCCAAATGGAAGAGACTGACACTAAGAAAATTCTCCCCATCCATGTTATACTTGGCGCTAATGAGTACACAAAAATTAAGATGGCTGGTTATCAACGTGTGGAAGAAATTGGAGAGCCCATTGCTGAACAAACCAGGTTTGCCTGGACAATAATGTCTTCTGGTGCAGAGGTGGACATTGAAAACATGTTCCTCACACAGACATCTGTCGCCGACTATGAAGAATTGTGCCGCCGGGATGTCCTTGGGTTGGAAGACACGCTCATTGGTGACCAGAGAGTCGTGCACCAGGAGTTCCTTGAACAACTAAAACGCAGTCCAGAGGGGTGGTACGAAACAGCTCTCCCATGGAAAGGAAACCACCCCCCTTGCCAGACAATAAGTTGTCTCAAACCTCAAACGCCTTGCAACCCTTTTACATCGACTTAAACGAAACGGCAAGTTAGAAGAGTATGATGCCATAATCCGTGAGCAGCTTGAAGAGGGGGTTGTAGGGGAAGCAGAAATGCCCGCTAAAGGAAAAGAATTTTACATTCCCCATAAGGCTGTAAATAGAGAGAATGCAGCAACCACGAAGATGCGTATTGTTTACGATGCCTCTGCTAGAGCCAAGGATAGAGCTCCTTCCCTTAAGGAGTGTCTAGAGACAGGACCGCCCTTACAAAACCAGATGTGGAGAGTGCTGGTCCGCGGAAGATTTCATGCAGTAGCAATAGCAGGAGACATTAGAAAGGCGTTCCTTCAAGTGCGCATCCGTGAAGAAGACAGAGACGCCTTGAGATTTCATTGGATTGACAGAGAGAATCCAGAGAAAGTACGTACGCTGCTTTTTACGCGTGCCTTTTTTGGTCTGGGCCCATCACCCTTTCTTCTTGGGGGCGTCATTCAGCTTCACCTCGAAATTTGTAAGCCGGATTATCCTGAGACAATACCGGAGATTGAGAGGGGATTGTACGTGGATGACTTACTGACAGGCGGTCCTACAGTTGAAAAGGCGCGACAAGTTAAGAAGACTGCAACAGAAATATTTGCAAAGGCCACCTTCACTTTACACAAATGGAACTCAAACGCTAGAGAGCTAGAATTAACCGAAGCAACTGACAGTGAAGTTGGGCGTACTTACGCTAAAGAACAGCTAGGAGAGAAACCAGGCGCGTGTGGCCTTCTGGGATTGCGATGGAATAAAGAAGATGACAAAATAGCTGTAACCTTTCCTAGAGAGATTGCTGACCCTACCAAAAGAGGTGTGCTTTGCAAAATTGCGAAGAGTTACGACCCCATCGTTCTTGCTGCGCCTGTAACCCTATAAGGAAAGATTGTTTATCGCGATATATGCAAGGAAAAGACCACGTGGGACGCAGAGATTCCATTACAAATTGCAAAGAAGTGGAGCAAGTGGGAAAATAACCTGTCTGATCAAGTTGAAGTGCCCAGGTCCTTAGCTGTAACCGGAGAAGAAATCCGTGAAATTACTCTTCATGCCTTTGGCGATGCAAGTGGACAGGGATTAGCAGCAGCTGTTTATGCAGTGGTCCAGCAACATTCAGTGGTGACGCCGGGACTCGTCGCAGCGAAGGCCCGTCTCGCCAAAGAAGATCTTACTATCCCCAGACTTGAGTTAGTGGCTGGTCATATGGCGGCTAACTTGTTAACTAATGTACGAGATGCGCTGATCGGGTTTCCAGTTAAGTCCTTGTACGCATGGCTAGACAGTATTGTCGCCCTACACTGGATAAGGGGCTCCAAGGAATACAAGCAGTTTGTCAGGAACCGCGTCCGCAAGATCAGAGAGAAAACTGAAATCACATGGAGGCATGTACCGAGCCAAGAAAACCCTTCAGACTTAGCAAAGTAGAGGAGGACTAGTAAAGGAAGATAACTCGTCGTGGTGGAATGGACCGACATGGTTGAAGGAACAAGACAGCTGGCCGCCGGACATCATAACGGTTGCAAGCCCAGAATCTAACGCAGAAGCGAAAGCCTCCAAGCAGATTTTTGCCTTAGCAGTACAAAGCAACAATGTTATGGACGAACCGTTACTAAGATCATCCCTTTGGCGAACATTGAGAGTGGGGACGTGGGTCGCACGATTCCTGCGCAACAGCAAATCCCCAAGAAATCAGAGAATCAAAGGTCCATTGACTACCGAGGAAATTAACAAGCAGAGGTTGTTCTGGGAGAAGAAGACTCAAAAACAGTGGAAGGGATCTGATCAATTCCAGGAAGACCAGTTAAGACTTAACCTGCAGCCAAACCGAAAGGAGGTTCTCGAGTGCCGTGGAAAAATCCAGGGAAACTATCCCGTCTATCTCCCTGATAGTGCTGTCTACACCCTGAAGTTCGTACAACACGCTCATGAGATTACTCTTCATGGGTGAGTAGGACTAACCATGGCCAAAGTGCGAGAGTCTCATTGGATACCAAGGTTGCGCAAGCTTGTTAAACGAATAATCAAGCAATGTTACGGATGCAAACGGTTTCAGATCACTGCGTTCGCCAATCCACCTCAAGGAAATTTACCTCGTGACCGCACTGAAGGAAATTCACCATTTCAAGTAGTTGGTGTTGACTACACCGGTCCCATCAAGTACCGCACAAGCAGAAACAGAGAAGGGAAAGCCTATATTGTCCTGTACGCCTGTAGCCTGACACGAGCACTTTACCTAGAACTTACCAAAACCTTGGAGACTAACGAGCTCATCAGCACCCTTAAGCGCCTGATCACCAGAAAGGGCCGTCCAGAGAAAATCTATTCCGATAACGGTAAAACGTTCGTGGCAGCAGCGAAGTGGCTGAGAAACGTGATGAAAGATGAACGCCTGCATAACTTCCTAGCCAAAGTCGACGTCAAGTGGCCGTTCAACCTGTCCAGAGCACCCTGGTGAGGAGGTCAATTTGAGAGGATGGTTGGTCTTGTCAAAAGAGCCTTTAACAAGACAGTAGGAAACGGTATGCTTTCCTGGAGCGAGCTACAGGATGTCCTTCTGGACGTTGAAGTAACCATGAATAACCGCCCGCTGAGCTACGTTGAAGAGGACATTCAATTACCCATATTGACCCCCAACCTGTTGCAGTTTGGCCGCCCGATTCTATTGCCTGAAACACAGAGCCATCAGTTGGAGAACCAAGACCTGGGAAGGCGTGCACGGTACCTGAAGAAATGTAAAGACGTACTATGGGGGAGGTGGTCTTCATAATACCTACGAGGCTTGCGTGAGCAGCACAATTTAAAACACAAAGGAAGTAAGGTGGCCCTAGCTAAGGGAGATGTTGTCATCATTAAAGGCGAAGAAAAGAACCGTGGATTGTGGAAGCTAGGAATAGTCCAAGAGCTGATTACTGGACGAGACGGAGTTGTCAGAGGGGCTAAACTGCGAGCGGGAAGATCTTACCTGGAGAGACCTGTCCAACACCTTTATCCAATGGAGCTCTCCTGTGACAGCGCTGAAGCACCTGTCTTCAGGCCGTCAAGAGACGCTGCTGTGGCAGCACGTGCCAGGATAAAGGACGCTGCCGAACTTACTGATGATGACTACTGATCTTTGAACATTTGTAATAGAGACATTGCAACTATGCTTAGAACAATCAAATTGTTCATCACTATTCGCGATGAACAGGGGGAGAGTGTTATGAAACAAGAGTGTAGCGTGATTGTGAGATGGCGTGATTTTATTCGTTTTAGATTTTGTTATTAATAGTTTCACTTGTCTGTGAGAGCGACAGAGAACTTGATGACAGATCGGATTAAAAACTAAAGCTTATTCAAGAAAGTCACGATTTTGTGTAGTGTGTGAGCGAGCCATTGTACTGTGAGGATCGAAGCTGTGAAATAAACCCTGT